TGACAGCTCTGTGTCACCGTCCTGAGCTCAAGCCCATCAGAAAGATAAGTCAGCGAGAGCTTATTTAGTTTAAGAGTGAAGGGGCACCTGCTTAGGATGCAGCTTGGATGGCAGCACTCCTTGCTGGACTGTGGCTGAAGAGAGGGGAATCAGAGTGCCGGCCCCCGTAGGCACTGGGCATCTTACGAAGGGACAGCATCAGCATGGCTTTGGTGTGTCCAGAGCCCCCTGGAAGCCCTGCAGGTGTTGACATGTCACCGTGCCAAGGCCCATCCCAGCATTGGGTGGCTTTTGTCCTGTGCTGTGGGAGCAGAGCAGCACTGGGGGTGCCCAGTGGATCTACTCTGCACTTGTCTTGTGGAGAGCGTGGTCTCTGCTTGGGGATATTTATTTTGAATATGAATCTCATTACACTTTGCTCAGTGGACCTCAGTGTGAAACCTCTCTTCTACCTCAGACTGATTTCTGACATACTGCATCCAAGCAGTGCACACTCTTTCCCTGTTCACCATAATGCCTTTTCAAAGGCTTTCTCCTTTCACAACAACCTTGTGGGCTCCTACACCCACCTGGCTGCATGAATCTGCCCACAGACATGCTATATCCAAAAAGGTAGGATGAAGATATCCACATCTCAAGAATAAAGCACATTTTTGAGCATAAAATCACATTCACCCCAATTACAAACATGAATTCCAATGTCAATATGAATCATACCAAAAAATGCCCTGTGCTTGGGGAGGCTGGTGGGACCCACAGTTCTGCTGGTGGTGGCCAGAATGGCCCAGTAGCCCTCGTAACAGTGGAAAGGAGATTAATACAGAAATTGCTTTTTCAGAGGGAGACACACAGTCTAACAGACACAGCCAAGTTATTAATATGTGAAACCAGTGTGATCATCTTTCAATATTCCAGTATTTAAGGGGAGTTTATAAACAGGAACGATATCAACTTTTTACATGAGTAGATAGTGATAGGACAAGGGGAATGGTTTTAACTTAAAGGAGGGAGGGGACGTTTAGATTAGATGTCAGGGGGAAGTTTCTCATGGAGAGGGCAGTGAGGTGCTGGCACAGGCTGCTCAGAGAGGCTGTGGATGCCCCATCCATGGAGGTGTTCAAGCCCAGGATGAATGGGGTACTGGGCAATCTGATCTAGTACTTAATATAGCAGTTGGCATCCCTGCCTGTGACAGCGGGTTGGAACTTAATGATCTTTGAGGTCTCTTCCAATCCAAGCCATTTCATGATTCTACAATTGATTCTATGATTCTATGCTTCTGTGATCCGTATCTGCACCTCCCAGTGAGTGAGTAAAGCTAGTTGCTGAAACAACACTATCTTCATTTTTAGCGATTACTGATTTTATCCTTTCTAGAAGTTGGTGCTCATGTCAGATCAGGACAATGACTCTATTGTCACAGCCTGTTTGGATGTGTTTTCAGAAAGTGCTAAAAAGGCACATCGGTCATCTCATGTGAAGTTCCATGTTTAGCAATCAATGGTCAAGGCCAACCAAAGTAATCAGATGACTACAGCTCTGGAGAGATGGGAAATTACTGTCCCCTTCAAATTTCCCTCAGAAACCCCCTTTGTTTCTTGTCCTTTTAGAACTATTCTGTGTGATTCCTGTTTGTTGTCAGATCAGCTTTGAGCCATCATGATGCTGACCACCAGCACCCGGAGCAGTCCCAGCTCCCCTACAGCAGCACCGAGCTCACAGGCACAGGAGGGCCATGATGGCAGAGCCTTCCAAGCACATGGGCACAAATGCTGCCCTCTGCAGAGGTATCAGCCCCAGGTGACACTGCAGCGGGCACAAGACAATGCTGGGCACTGCTAAAGAACAGGTGGGATGCCATAGCAGTGCAGGCACTGTAGCTGTGTGAGGATGGGGACTCGTTTCTGCATTTGAACATTATTTAAAAGTAACCACGATTTTAAACAACTTTGAGGTCAGGCTTTGATGAGGGGTATGAAGAACCAAACGCTTCCCTCTAACTGAGTGTTTCAGAATGACACGTGCGACAGCAGCGCAGCACTGGTTGCTGCAGACAAGCTCAGAGAGCCAAGCGTTTTCAATAAGCATTAGCAGCTAAAACATCAGTACACATGAAGAGAGTAAAACCCCAGGAAGCAAAAATACCACCATGAAGGGAATCATTTTGTAACCACACTCGTGGGTGCACGAGGCAGGAGACCAGCTGCAGTGTGGGCTCAGGAGATGAGCAGGGAGAAGGAAAGGTGTAAAATGAATGTGTGGAAACGATAAAATCCAGTGGTTGTTTAAAGTGGTAAGGTTTAAGATCTATCTGTCTGATCTTGCAAGTAAAGCCCTAAAAGAGCATCATTTGCAGACTGGAAAAGAAATCCTTCAATGTAATCCAGATGTTTAAGGCATTACCAAAAAGAAAAAAAAACAACAACAAAAAAAAAACCCCAAACCCATAATCTGATTAAATGTATGGATTTAAAATCAGTGTAGCTAAAATGACATTTTCTTGGGTAGATGCGCAGAATCATGAGGGACAAAAGGGATGTGGGGCTGCTGAATGAAGTGCCCTGTCTGTCTGAGGTGGTCAGCAGGGCAACAGCCCAGTCAGGGAAGGGATCTGCAGAGAAATGCGGGACCCACGCAGAATTTGGTACTGTTTAACTGGGGGAGTTATCAACTGGGGGATATCATCAATATTAATCCAATGTTGTAATTAATGAAAGATCATTAACAGCATCCTCCTGAGGCTCCTCTACTGCAGGCTGAGCAGTCATAGCTCTCTCAGCCTTTTCTCATGGGGGAAATGCTCCAATCCTTTCATCATCCTTATGGCTGTTTGCTGGAGTCTCCAGCAACTCCACATCTCTCCTGTACCGCGGAGCCCAGAACTGGGTACAAGCCTACGTGAGATGTGCACATCTGCACGCACAAACAGGAGCATCCTCTGCTCTGGGAGCAGGGCAGGAGGTTGGGCTGCAGCACACTCTGTGGTTACGCTTCCCCAGCACTTTCTGTTATGTGACGTCTTTCGGTTCTGTACAGCTTTGGCCCAGCAGGTATTGTTTGGGCTGGGGCTGTTGTGGAAACACAGCTAGGGGATGAATGCTGCTGGGAAATTCTACCAAAAAAACAGATTAGCAATTTCTCCCACTATAAGTCAAGAGAAACATTCCATTTTCAGACATAAAAACAACAAGGCTGTGGTTTTGCAGGGAGGTGCAGGTCCCTCAGGAAGAGCACCTTGATGAGGCAGGGTGCTCACAGGGACAGGGCCGCCAGCTTTTGGCCATTTGGGATCCATTATATTGGATATAAGGAAAATGTTCTTAATGACAAGGGTGGTGAGGCACTGGAACAGGTTGCCCAGGGAGGCAGTGGATGCCCCATCCCTGGAGACATAGGGTCTGGCTGGATGTGGCTGTGAGCAAGCATATCTAGCTGTGGGTGTCCCTGTTCATTGCTGGGGGTTGGAATAGTTGGCCCTTAAGGGTCCCTTCCAACTGAAATGATTCTACTATTCTATCAGGTGCCCCTCACCCACAGCAAGGCACCAAGAAGCCAATTTCAAGCTGCATTTAACAAATCAGGAGAGGCCACCGGCAAGCCTACGTGCCGTGCCACAACCAGGCAGCCAGGCCCAGCAGAGTGCAGGCCGCTCCCCAGCAAATGGAGCCCAGCTCTCCAGCACCGCGCTGCTCTCGCTGGTGCCACAGCTGCACCCTACAAGTGTGTGAGCACGCATAGCGTGTGCGGCCCCACTGTGAGGAAAAACAGATAAAAATAGGACCTCTGATCTCCAAACCCGCCTTCTGATTGCTTTTTTTTTTTCTTCTTTTTTTTTAAACAAACGTTTATACATTGTTTTTAACCACAGAAATCAGATACTCAGACAACTTTCATCTCATTCCTGCAGAATCAAAATGGAGCTTCTCAGCTGCGGGGTGGCGTGGGACCGGCACCGCTCACACTTAGCAGAGGAAGTTGCCTCATAATGCGAATTTCTCCTGGCTGGGAACCGAGGGCTGAGTGCTGCCAGGCCCTGGGACACCTCCTGCAGCCAACTGGTCCTAAGCAGTGCTGTGTGCTGCCCCTCAGCGATCCTCTATGCCATGTGGGGCTTTGGTGCCATCTCCTGAAGCACATTCCATCTCCTGAAGCATGCATCGTTATACGTTTATCCTGACAAAGATTTAAGATGAGATCAGGTTTCGAGAATACCCAATTATTTTCTCAAGATTTTCTTCACAAAGTGGTAAGAATCTCAACATAGGTTCTGCAGTTTCCATTGTCTTGAATCGAAGCCTCCCAAACGCTTTCTTCCCCCCACAGCTGCTGCCCTTGGTGGGTGAGCTGCTGCCAAAACCAGCTGTTCTCTGCGTGGTCCTGCTCCCCACCAGGTGAACAGCCAGGCACCCAGCGGGGAAAATCCCTGCCTCATGTGTTGAAACCAAAAGCACCTGGATGGGAGATTTTATGTATAAACCCCGAGCTTCCTGACAATGTTTTGCACCTGAAGACAAAAGCAGCAGCCACAGCTTAAGTGGGGAGGAAGCCAGGAGGGACGATGATACAATGGAAAGAAAGCACAAAGCTTCCTGCCACCCCTGGCAGGAGGGGATGCTGCCTGCTCAACATGAGGCTCTGGGACAGGCTCTGCCAGCAACACAGCTTTGGATATGGAGATCACAAGTGCAGCAAACCTGGTGTCCTCATGTATGAGGTCTTTGCAAGCTCTCCCCACTGATCCCATGGGCTCTGGGCCTGAGAAGCAAGGCCCTGCAGCCTGTGGGACAAGAGGGAGATGGAGATAATGGTGGCTCTTGGTGGGACAGCACAGAGGCTCTGGTGTGAGTAGGCTGGATATTAGGAAAAGCTTCTTCTCAGAAAGAGTGGTGATGCACAGCCTGCCCGAGGGACATGGTGGAGTCACTGTCCCTGGAGGTGTTCATGAACTGTGTGAATGTGGCACTGAGGGACATCGTCATAGTGGGGATGGGCTGGTGGTTGACTGGGTGATCTTAGAGGTCTCTTCCAACCTTAATGATTCTATGATTCTACGAAAGCCACTGCAGTGACTGATGGAGCCAAACATGAGAGGAACAAGCAGACCAGTCGTGAGGGGCTGAGTCATAGTGACATGTGTGACACTGGAGTGAGGGACCAGCTCCCAGAGGAGTCACTGGCAGACCCTTCTACTGGGCAACAGAAAGCTCATGGATAAAGGCCTCCAGGATCCCAGAGGGGGTGCAGGGAGCTCCAGAACACCCGGGCCAGCTTGCAGCCCTCATGACATGCCCTCATATCCAGGGCCTTGCATGACAGGGGGATTGGAGGGTGGGTAACACCAACATGTAAACATGCTGAGCGGGCCGCACCCATGGTGGGCCCTGTACTTCTGGCTGCCCTGGAGCTGCCAGACCCCATCAGCCCTGCACCCCATAGGTGCTTCAGAGGGAGGAGTTCCACCAGAGCTTCTGGTCCACCAGGTTTCTGGCCTGAAGGAGCTGTGGGTGCAGCATGGAAGGGTTTGGTGGGGCCATGCAGCGGGTGGGGCTGGGTTGCACGCCTGTAGGCTGCACCTGCTGCATGCAGGGCAGGAGCGTGTTTTGCACAGAAGAAGCCACTTCCTTTCTTCTGCACTGAAAAGAAATAAAATCAGGTGGAGCTCGTTGCTTTCACCCTCTTTATTCCCAAGCATACGTGCACCGGGCCTGGAAAAAACTGTGGGATCTTTGGGTTTCCTTGGTTGTGATTGAGGCTGGTGGTACCAGCAGGGCGCATCCCTCCTCTGGCTTCTCCTTCCTTGGGAGATCTTTGGCCTTTGCCCACCATCCTGGTGTTGTGGTGCCTTCTTGCACCCATCAAGCAGCCTTGGGGATGGACAGGAATAGTGGATCTGGCCTGGGGATGATGCTTTTAGGTTTTCCACAGAAAACTCTCCTGATAGGCACAGCAGGAATGCAGCCAGGAACCTCTCCTGGGCCAGGCAGCACTCACCCCGGTGACCTTGGTGGAAGTATGGGGTACCTCACAGCCCACAGTGCGTGCTGGGTAAAAGTCGGTCCCATATCTGCTCTTGGGTGTGCACTCAGAAGAACCCTGGGCATTGCCATGAAGGAGAAGGAAGCTCAAGGACATCTGAGAACTATGCAGGTTTGGGTGGCTTAACTATTGCCAGCTGTGCAGGTAGAAAGCCTGTCTTACTAAGGAATATTGTCTCCACAGCAGATCCTTCCCCTCAAGCAATATAGACCCCTAAGCAACAGAAGAAGATCCATTCATAGATGGTTGTGAGCAAATTTTCATTATTAGTCTTTAAGTCATAGTGGTTCATGGCAATACCATTCACTGTGTAATTTCTATACGCATGACTCACCATCCACAAGTACACAGATTACTGCTGAGTTTAATGTCGCCCTGTTGTAAAGCATTACAAATATTATGCAATTAAAGAATTGGTTGAGCTTTACTACAGTGATTTACTACAGTAATTTAAGTTTAGCTGTGATCTTAACCTCGACTTTTATTGGGCTCAGTGTTTTTCAGTAGCACCCTGAATGCCCCTTGGTGGGAATTTCCTAGCTAATTGGGAGTTTTTGGAAGGAAGAAAACAAAGAAAACAAGCCAAATCATCACCGCCACCAAGGAAAAACCCCAAACCACTGAGAAGAGAATAAAAATCCTCCTGGGATTTGAAAGTTCCAGCAGTCTTCAGTAAATGGTGCCCATGGGGAAGTGCATCCCACCAGCAGCAGCCTAAAAATAAAGATATTCTTCCACTTAGGGCAAATTATCTAACTTTCAATCTGTGTCTCAAGAAGCAATGCCTGATGGTCTCTCCATCCCTTAAAAGAGGGAGATTTGCCCCCAGATGTGCAGTGAGGAGCAGCCTGGGATGTTCCACACTATAGACTGCACAAGGGTTTGTCCAGGCTTTGTTGGGTCCCATCGGGCTTCTGTGGCCAAGGGGCTGAGCATGTGAAGTAGGGCTGGAGCTGCTCTCCTGGCTCACTTGCATTTTGTGTCCTCACGGATGTTTTCAGAGTAAAACCCAAAGTCGGCAGAGATGTCAGGAGCGATTGCTGCGCAGGTACAGTCATTTATCTGCTTCTACTAAGAATAACCCCGCAGCAGCCAAATGCCTCTCATACATCGAGAAAAGAAAAAAGAAAAAAACAAAAAAACAAAAAAGCCCAGCGAAAACACAGTTTTACTAAATCTAAGAAGGAAAAAAAAAAAAAGCCCAAACCTCCCGGTGCTTTTATAGCGTGAGCCAATACCGAGAGGCGCTCACTCACACAGCAGGAGCCCTGCAGGGAGGGTCCACACTGAGCCAGGGCAGGAGGAAGGGGAGGAGGGGGAAGCGGAGTGGGTGCACGCCTGTGTCTGTCAGCGTGCCTGTGTCTCTCCGTCTGTTCACACCTCAGCCATCGGGAGTGGGAGGTAGCGTGGGGCTGTGTGTCCACAGAGCAACAGGACACGGGACACGACCTCAAAACAGCAGCAGGAGGTGAGCAGCATCCGCAAGGGATGGATAGGGTGGGGATGGATGGGATGGATGGGGCTGGATAGGGCAGGTTGGGACAGGGAAGGGTGGGATGGGAATGGACAGGGCTGGATGGAAGGGAGATGGGCGGGATGGGATGGGGATGGAGTGGATGAGAACAGACTAGGATGGATGGGATGCAGATGGGTTGGAAGGGAACAGACAGGGAGAGATGGGATGTGGATGGATGGGGCTGTTTGGAATGGAGCAGTGTGATAAAGGACTCAGGAGGCACTGACCCACAGTCCAAAGCACTGTTAAGGAGAAGGAGGGTGTGTCATCTGGTAGCGGGGAGTGCTCCGCTCACATCTTTGCATGGCGTGGGGCATTGTATGCATGAGGACAGCTGGGATCTCTCTTTTCTTTGAATGTTTTGTTTCTGCTTCTGCTCCCTTGCACTCGTGCCTGCCCCCCTGAGCTCCCCCAGCCCCATTTCCATCTGGCTGTTTTCTCAATGAATCTCCCCATTGCCCCTGTGGTGATGAATCAATGATCTCACCGCCACAGGATGACTTTGGGACCTTGTTTGCACAAGATGCAACTATTCTCCCCACGCACTGCCATCCTTTCTGGTATTGCTTGGATGTTTAAAAAAAAGAGATGGTGACAAGAAGCAGAAAGAAGACAATGAGTCACAGCCTTTGTTGCACCGCTCACACCGAAATCACGAGAGATGCATTTTTCCAAATGACTCGGGCTGTGTGCTGCTGGGGGTGGTGAGGAGCAGGAGGGACAGGCCAGGAGGTGGCAGGGAGCATGAAGGGACAGCCCTGAGAGTGCTGCTCCCGCTGCTGGGGTTTTACATCTGTTCTTATCTTCAGAGAGAAGGCTCACGAGACGCTCCAAAATGGCTGCAGTGGTGGCCACGTCCGCACCTGCCAACATCACCTCCAACCAGAGCAGCTGCAATGTGCACAACCACCACTTCTCCGCCAAGGTCACCTTCTCCCTCTTCTACACTGCCCTGCTGGTGTTTGGTGCCTGTGGAAACATCCTGGCTCTCTGCATCACCTTTCAGCGCAGGAAGAAGAAACTCAACTCCACTGACCTCTACCTGGTGAACCTGGCTCTGTCCGACGCCCTCTTCACAGTGGCGCTGCCTGGCAGGATCGCCTACTATGTCCTGGAGTTTAACTGGCCCTTTGGGGACTGGTTCTGCCGGCTCACTGCCTTTGTCTTCTACATGAACACCTATGTGAGCATCTACTTCATGACCTGCGTCAGCGTGGACCGCTACATCGCTGTGGTGCGCACCAGGCATCCTGGCAGGATCCGCAGGGTGAGCCGTGCCGGGGCTGTCTGCGCCCTCGTCTGGTTCCTGGTGTTCCTGCAGACGGCACCGCTGCTGCTGCGGCCTATGACGCGCCGGATGGGCGACAAGCTGACATGTATGGAGTACTTCAACTTCGAGGAGATTCCCAAGCTGCCCTATCTGCTCCTGGTGGCCTGTGTGCTCGGCTTCTTCCTGCCCGTGGGCATCATCTTGGTGTGCTATGTGCAGATCAACCTCAAGCTCTGCCAGACCGCCAAGGAGAACCCACTGACAGTGAGGAACGGGCACCACCGCCGGGCCTTCACAGTCATCTTGGTGGTGCTGCTGGCCCTCCTGCTTTGCTTCAGCCCCTACCACATCAACATCGTCCAGTTCATGGTCAGGAAGATCCTCCACCAGCCATCTTGCCACGAGCAGCAGGCCTTCAAGATGTCCCTGCAAGTCACTGTGGCATTCATGAACTTCAACTGCTGCATCGACCCCATCATCTACTTCTTCGCTTTCCGAGGCTATAAGCGGAGGCTTCTCCGCATCTTCAGGAACAGCGGCTCCATGGCCACCTCCTCCACTGCCAAGACCCCCTCTGAGAGCAACAGCAACAGCCAGCCACCCGGCTCCAGCTCTGTCTAACATCACGACCCTCCTGTTCTCTCCATCTGGCAGCGTGTGGACCATTCCCTGCAGCAGCAGTGGGGCCGGGCTGCAGAGCAGGACCAGACCCCACCGCTCTGCCTGGAACCAGGGGCTCTTGCACAGCCAACACAGCACCAACACAGCTGCTGCCTGCAACTCTTTCCCTGCAGGGATGAAGAGCAGCTTGCTGCTGTCCCTTCACCACACACTGCACAGGATGGGTGGCAAGTGGGCACCATGTGAGCAGATCCTGGTCCCCTCTGTGGCACTGGGAGGAAGTGCATGGTTCCCTGCAATATTCTTCACCTCACCCTTCCCAAAAAGGGGACTGATGGTGGTCTTGCACTGCCTTGGCTGACCTTCCCTTCAATCTGAGGACCTGGGACATGAGCCAAACCAGGCTGGTCCGGGGGCCTTGCTAAGGGTAGGTCACACATGACCCTCACCAGAGCCCTGTGGCATCTGGTTCCCATCAAAACCTGTACAGCAAGGAGAAGGTTGGTCTGACCAAGGAGCTCCACAGCTCCGCTCTGAAGCTGCTGGACTACAGGGCTGGACACAAGCGAACCAGATTTCATGGTCTTGTACTGGAGGTTGGAAGGGACAGAGATATGCACAGAGATATGAAGAGGAGGAAAACCAGCTTTCTTTTGCTTAACTTTAAAGCAGTTCCATTAATGATACTTCTGATTAACAGAATTTGTTCTTGAAGGCAGTAACATTTCTTGCTTGAAGGTTAATAATACAGGTGTGTGCAGCCCTTTAAGTGTGCATGAGTTATCTTTTGGATGACAATTGCTTCACCTGTGCACAGGTGACTGCAGGGATGTACCTGAGATTGGAAGGGACTCCAGCAGAGTCCTGCAGAGTACCCAAGCCCTGCTCCCAGCAGTCTAACCTCAGTGCTGAAGGCCTGAAGGGAGCCTGTATCCAAAAAACACATTACAATGGGCATGGAAGAGCTGGTGGGCAGTAACTGAGGGGTATTTGTGGTCTGAGCACTGCAAAGGAGCCCGGTATGGACGCCCAGCACACAGCCTGCTGGGAGCCAGGCCACCATGCACATGAGGTTGGTGGCTGTGGATTTGTCCAGCAGAGGACCAGGGGTTGCAAGGAGGGGCTCCCTAGCAGAGGTGTTACTCCGCTCTGTCCCCTCCCATGGAGGGACTCCTGGTGCTCTTCTCCACAGCTGATGCAAAAGTGTGAAAATGGGGCATTTCACCACAACGAGACAATCACAGAATCCTCCCCCATGGGCAAAGAGCACTTTCTCTACATTTCATTCATTGCATAATGCTTGCCTCAGCCAGCACGTTTGCACAGAGCAGAGACATGTATGTTTCCTGCTGCTCACCTCACTCGTGTGAACTCGCTGAGAACATTTCATCCCTCTTCTTATCAGCTCCTATCAGTAACTGCATTGCCACAGCTTTTGTTCCCTTGCTGACATCCTTCTCGGTGCAAACGTGCCTGCACCCAGCGCCATGCTGCTGCCATCAGATGAGGGATGCCTGCAGTTGCAGGCACCAACCAAGATAACATCAGGGGAGTGGCTGCAGTGGGAGGGTGCTGCTGGCCTGCAGGGAGCACATGGCCACACCTGGCAGCACATCTTCTGCTGATAGAGGGAGCTGGGACCTGCCTGGGGTTTCCAACAGTTCTATTTTCACACTAACTTTTCCTCTTTAAACCATACCTGTAACTCCCCATTTCATACTAGGATACCCATCCTTGTATGGCACCATGATGTTGCCATGTGAAAGTGCGTGCATCAACCAAACCCAACAGCCTCTCACCGAGCAGCTCCTGCCTGCAGGTCCCCACCAGCTGCCATCAACACTCCATCACCTGCTGGGGAGACACTGGGCTCCACATCTGGGATTGGCTGGGACTGACCATGCTGTGCTCCTCCCTGGGTAAAAGCAGCACCTCATGCAAAAACAACCAAGTGAAATGGGTGGAAGACCATAGCAGAGGTCCCTACAACAAAAACCATGGGTGGATTTTCTGTACAAACTGCTGATCTGCTCGTGTTATTCCATCTCTCTCTTGTTCCTCTGAGCTCCACCTCAACTCATGTCTTCTTCATTAAACTTAGATGCCAGGTTCATTGCCTACTTTACTCTGGTTGGAAGGCCAGATACTGCCTTCAGTTCAGCCATGCAGTCCTTGTCCCCACCACCACTCCCCATCTCATGATGGGGCTGATGGCACCCAGTGCTGCACAACCTCTTGAATTTCAATGTAGAGCTGCATGCCCTTTCTGCAGCCAAGGCCCCTCTTCCCAGCACAGGAGGAACAGAATACCATGATGTGTTAAATCAAGCACTGTATGCTTTACAGAAACTCATACATACATATAATAAAATAGTGTGTGTGCATACATATACACATATAGTGCTTGTGTGCTCACGTGACTCTCCTAATAAAACAGTGCTTATGCTCCTTTATATAAAACTCATTTCTATGACTATCCGCTTAAAGAAAGTCAATCTCATTTAGGAGAACACAAGAAATTAAACCCATTCTATGATACTGCCTTGCGCTATGTTTGCTTGCTTGGTTCTTGTTTCAGACAGAAGCCACGAGACGTCCATCACGTGCTCCTGGACCACACGGGAGGTAGCAGCCCTGGCGCCCACCTGCTCACCTCAGCAGCACATGGGCTTTGCTCTGGGAGGGGGAAAAGTCTGGGTGAGGTACAGAGCCCAACCACTCTGCATCTCAGCAAAGAGCTTGGGCTTGAGAACTGCTCACCAGGCAGTTTTCCACAAATGCAAACAACTGTGGGTGTATTTCCAAGTCCCACAGCCATCTAGGAAAGTCCCCAGTAAATTACTGCAATGTTATTTCACAGTGACATTCCCATGCTGTTAGAGAAGTCTGAAAAGCAGCTACCGTTACCTAGGGACTTAAAATCCTCTCCATAGAAAAGCATTCTGCTTTATCTCACTGCCTAACCATATCTTTGTGTCACATCTCAAAAAGGAACTGCATGGTGACATTTAAAGCTGCACTGGGCACACACTGTGATGGCTGGAAGGACCAGTCTCCTCATGCTCACAGATGTGTCACAATCAAGAGGAGACTGAGGTCTTCCCCAGCTCTGGTGCATGGAGCTTTCTTGTATGAAACAGGAACTCCGCTCAGCTGCATCAGGGACCCCTCCTTTCACCACTTCTTTTTTTTTTTTTTCTTTTTTCCCTGATTGGAAATCACAGCCCTGGGAGCATTCTGAGCAATAAACTCTTCTACAGAAGTCAGGTTTCTAGCTGACATCACCAAGACCTGAACTTCACCCTTCATGTTTGGATCATGCGTTGTGAAACGGGGCTTTCCAAAGCGTGGCCTTTGGATACCCTCTGTATAGATAACAGCAGTCAAGGATTGAGACTTGGACAATATCCACCAATGTGCCCAGGATGCTTCTTTTATGCTTTAAAATTCCATGTAAGAAATGCTTGTTGTGCCTGTCCCCAGAACAGGGCACATGTCCATGTGTTCTGTTCAGTCTATCCAGGGAAGGTAGACCTTTATTTCCTTCAGAGAACATTTCACATCTGAAAGAATGTATTAGTCTTTATTGCTGATTATGATAAAATACTCGTGGAGGAAGAGTCCGTATATTTCAAACTTAAAATGTTTGCCTACACGAATTACTATATTTTTTTAAGAAGGTATTCTAACAATTGCCCTTCCTAAGGCAGCCAGTTTCCAGCCATTTGGGTATAGAAGCACCCCCAGCTTGGACACACACAAATGCACAGGACGCTGACTTTTATTACAGAAGCGTGTTATGTGCCTAAAGAGGAATAAGTTTGATGTTATGCCTGGATAAGGACTCGGGTGCCAGAAGGACCATTATCAGTGAACTAAAAAAAAACCTCAAACAAACAACATCAACAACAAAAAAGCAATGTATCTCTCCGTTTTTAAATATTGTGCTGTAATTCCCCAGCAAATACTCAGGCAAAGTGAAACTGGACACATATCCAATATGAACACACGCATCCTGTTAGATTTCCCAAACACCCTTCTCTTTCCAGTGTTCTTTCATCTCATTCCCTTTTCACCCACTATAGCCATACGCTCCTGAGGACCTGTATCTTATTCTGAACACACGTATGTGTTAAATATGCCTGTATGTATATAAATAGACACATATATACTCAACATACCAACAAAAGTACATACACAACAACTGACATTAAATGCCTGGGACACGCGTATGGAGGGATTTCATGGAGTTGCAGTTTGGAATACCATATTACTTCAGCTTGGTGTTGTATCCACCTCCTAAAGCTCCTGAGGTGCTCACAATGAGCACTGCTAAGGGTCAAGCCACACGAGTTTATCTGTCCACCTAAACTTCAAAGCCAGCATTACTGCTACCTTGGCAGTAGTGTCCCCTTGACTCCTGTGTTACTCTGAACCACTCTTATGGTTGGTACTCCATCTGCCATTAACTACTTCATACAGAGAGGATTCAGCAAATGAGGATCACCCACAACTCTGAAAGTAGAAAATTGGAACTACATAGAAAAGATAGCTTTATATATTATTCCTTGAAGATGGTTTGTAGTCAGCTCAAAATACAAACCTGGCGCATCAGACAGCACACACCCATTGATACAGAAGTCTGTCTGAATCAGACGTGGGTGTCATTCAAATTACTGCAGTTCTGACCTCGTCTCATTCAATTCACCTTTATTGCTCCCAGTGAGCACCCTCATGCCCTGTGTCTGAACAGCAATTTACTCCATTTGTAAAATTGAAGTGTACAGTGGTCACTTACCACTGGTATGGTAATACGCCATAGAAATTTTCTTGTATCCTATCTGTGCATTATTATGTGCTGAATGACAACTTTTATTTAAAAAGGAATTCAGGAAACAAAATATTACAGGCATTAATAAAAGTTTCTGGAGTGACATAATAATCTCGTAACACTTTAGTGAGTTGAACATGAAGTGACCGTCGAACACCTTATTACTGCAGTCAGAAATCAAGTACTGTAACATAACATGTAAGCTAGAGAAACCAGATGGGCAAACAAAGAAAACGCAACATTCTTTGATGGGTAAATCTGGTTGTTGTGGTTGTAGGAACATGTTTTCTTAGTCATTCAGTTCGATAACGTGTCTAACAATGATTTACAAGGAAAAAAACCCACCTATTTTATTTAAAAAATAAATTTAGGTGATATCCAGTAATAAGTAGAAACTAAATTTACTTTGAAAAGGATAACCAGAATAGAAACCACCGGTTGATTCGAAGGCTTGGGAACAGCTCACGTCATTCACCAAGCAGTCACGCGGAGCCCACTTCTCCTTCCTGCCGGCTCGGCAGGGCCGACCTGCATCAGTCTGTCCAGCAGGTGGCTGTGTCCCCTTCAGGAGCATACAAACCCATGGGGAGAGTTCCTTCATCGCTCACATAATCATCAGTGCTGCAGTAGAAAATTAGTGGCTACATTTAAGTCATTATTTGAAGCCCTCAAAGCTTCCAGAGCGTCTCCCCTGGAAAATCCCATCTCCATAAGTCGTGCAACCTGTAAGAGAAATAACATAAAACTACCGAATCAACAGTTTTAGTCAGATGATGTGTGCATTACCTATTTAACAGTGTCAGAGATCACTTTTTTTTCCACTGTTCAGAAGCTTATCTGTTTGAAGAGCGTGCAAGCACAGCTCTGCACCACCACAAAGACATATCTGTGACAGCATGCTTGAAAACACTGCCAGAGAGAGAGAGTGAGATGAGTGCTGTGTGATCGCTTGTTCAGAACCAGCCTTTTGCTGTGTTTTCAACCCTGGCCCAGTTTTGAAAGAAGAGTGAAATAGAAAGCTTTGTTGTCTGGCTGGCATTTTTTCTGTTTTTCACTTTGGCACCTTACATGACAAGGGCAGCCTGACCCCAGGGCTCACTGCTCAAGAGAAGAACGTGCCCTCCAGAGCTCAACACTGACCCAATGGGAAATCTTACAGCAGGTGGGAAGACCTGTACATTTACACTTAGCTGTGCTCTGCTTGAAAAAAACCTGAATTCTCCAAAGGTCATTAAAAAGCCCAAAACGTTTGCTCTGGGTGGTTTTTACAGCCAACCTGAAAGCTAATCATGAAACAGAGGCAGTGAGATACTTAAATTGGTTCAGTAAAATTCATGGAAGGATTCCAAATGTTTTCAAAACAGGGCAAGTCAATGCCATGTGATGGATGAGTTACCTCAAAATGGGCACGTTGAGAGAATCGTTTTGGTGACCAGTAACCAATTATCATTCTTCTTTGCAACATCACGCTCTTCACACCTAACCTTTTCCTCTGTGCTAAAAGATTCTCAAAGTACCACAAATTACTACATGTTAAAAAAAGTAAATACATCTAATTTATCTATGGCTACATTTTGATTTAAATCACACTTGAAAACTATGGCTCTTTATTAGGTTTAAGTGAAAGTCACAATGTAACTAATTCACTTTGATATTTAATCATCCATAGAGGGGGGCAGCATGCAGAATGAAGCATGGCCAGCGGCAGCAGGAGGCACTCTCCATCCTGCTCAAGCCCGTGGGTGGGCTGGGAGCTGGGAGCTGCAGGTGCAGGAGAGGCCTGGTAGCCCTGGTGGCCCTCTGGAGGCTGGTATGGAGCACGCTGCACAGAACCAAGCAAGCAGGAATGCAGCTGAGGCCCTCTGCATCCTGGGACACATTAGCAATGTGTGGTCGTATCTGAAATGCCTCTTGGAAGAAAGGATTTAGGATTTTTAATCTCCCCTGCTTTGGTGGCTTATTGAAAAATACAGCCCTGCGAAGTGTGCCCGGAGGTGGCAGTTCTGGTTCTCTTGATCTAAATATGCTGTTACAAAATGTTTGAAAACTGCTACCTTGGTTGTCAAAATATCAAAAATGCTACCATCTTTTTTTGCATTTCCCCTTCTCGCTCTATCACCCAGTGTCAGTTTCTCACCTTCTTGTAGAGAGAGAAACAAATCGTTACTTTCAACATCACTGCAACATCAATCTGGATCTCATAACCAGTAACTTTCTGAAGTTCCCTTTTTCTGACTTTTCACCTAAGATAATGATTTTTATGACAAAGAGGCCAGGCAATGGAAATAAAAGCTAACCACAGCAATACAATTCAGGTGAAAGGTTTTTATGGCAGTGGCTGTGAATTCTAACTTTGACTTTCAAGAAGCGGTGGATGGAGTTTCAATGCTCCCATTTGCAGAAACATCTAGAGGGCATAATGGGAAATAAATTTTAACAGCAGAAAGCTCTTTTTATCTGAGTATATTTTAACCACAGAAGTTGAATCCAGCACCAGGAAACTGAGTTGAATGCTGGTAACAGTAATTGAAGGTGCTAAAAAATTCATGAGATAAGCAGAGATTTTTCTACCAGACGTTGCTAACGCTTACAAATTTGAATCCAAAGAACAGGCACAAACCTTGCACTTCTGCCATTCCAAGACAATTTACAGATTTATTAGCACAAATCTGAAAAATCAAAGGTGCTTGGGTAACTCTCTACCTTGCAAGGCAACCAGACAGCATTTCAGATGACAGCAACTGGGTGATCTTTACAACTTCAGTGCATTACAACATGTAAGCATATACTGAAGTGCTTTCATACAGCTGAGCCTGGGCCAGGTTTGAGGTCAGAAGACAGCACAAGTTGGGCTAACAACTGTTACATGAGTTCCAGCACAACAGTATAGTCTATACATACAGAATTTGTCACTTTACTTCTGGCACTGAATAAGCTTTTAGACTGGTCAAAATTTTAGACTGGTCTCAGAAGGTGTTCTTTAGTGGGGGAGTTATGTTCTCTTTCTTTCTTTCTTTCTTTCTTTCTTTCTTTCTTTCTTTCTTTCTTTCTTTCTTTCTTTCTTTTTCTTTCCTTCTTTCCTTTCTTTCTTTCCTTCTTTCCTTTCTTTCCTTTCTTTCTTTCTTTCTCTCTCTCTCTCTCTCTTTCTCTCCCTTTCTCTCTTTCTCTCTTTCTTTTTCGTTGATTGGTTTGTTTTTTATTTTTTTATTTATTTACTTTTTTACTTTTCTGATGCAGGCCAGCAAGTTTTCAATCAAAAACACCAGTTCAGTTAATTTGGGACATAATTTAACATTGAATCAAAACTAGAAATTGAATCATAGCAAACATTTCTCTTTGAAACAATCTCATTTTAAACTAGCTGGAAATAACAGCATGGCACTAGCAGGTATTGATTTGTCTCCTTAAAACAGAAAAAGGGGAAAGAGGAACTCACTTTTGGAACCTATTCTCAATGAAGAATAGCAGATACCTTAGACAATAAAAAGGCCAATGCAGTTAACTGCAGATGGGCTAAAACTCAGAGAACTTGACTGCACATAATAAATGCTGAATATAGAAACAAGATTAATATCCAGTTCTTGAATTTCCTAGTAAATCCTCTCTTTGGAGACAAAAAACTATCTTCAAAAGTCTACATCTACACTATAGGTCTAAATCTATACTAGGCAGAAAAGACAAACTTCTCTGTGGCAACAGTACACGAAATCAGTCAAGCATGTTATGTAGGGAAACACCCCACAAGTGTCTGCTGCAGCCCAAGGCTGGCAGAACGTTTTTATTTCCAAACAGCCACATGACCAACTTGGAAACTTAAGCTGGAGACCTCAGTGAAGGAAGAGCTGTATGTCTACAGGGAAAATGATGAAATCTATTTGCCATTCTTCCTTTTTTTTTTTTTTTTGAAACAAATATTAGCCATACTTGTGAAACTGTCTAACCTTTAAATATAAGGGATGAAAAGTTACACATAAAAGCAGTAATTCCCAATTTGATATGGAACTCTAATTTGAAAGATAATGATGAGTCGCTGTCCCTGGATTGTGACTGTTAACTGAGATTTCTATTTATGCTGCTGCAGGGAATGATTAAGAAGTTGTGTCAACAGACAATTAAAAAAATAGGTAATCCCTAATATCTTTTTAAATGAAATATTAAAAGAAAAAATTACCTGTTCTTCAGAAACCTCGGTAGGTGGAGGTGTGTCTTGATCAGATGGGTGATGATCTTGATAATTCTCATTGTGTCTATGACGTAAAGGAGGAAACAGTCTATTCCAGTTAATCATCCCACCCTGAAACCAGACACTGCTGTCAGTCTTTTCAAAAAAAACTACAGGTACTTTTACACATAAAGACCACCCATCCCACATAATACAGAAGGCAAACATTTGAGCGAAACACTTATCTCAAACAACAAGAGCTGCTGTAGCCTTTTGTGAAGTGAAAACCGGGACTTGTTACCTCTTTCCTAGCTATTGGAAGTAGCTGCTGTAAGCTAAGGAAAAGTGCTAATAAAGCGAAGAAAGGACTGTCTGATCTTGTTTTGCATGCATTGTGGATGATATGGCTCACTACAGTGATTAGTTTCTGAGGCTGAAGAGCCTGCTCTCTTTATAACTTTGTGCCAGACTTGAGTCTGGCAAGGGATGCAACAGCACGTCCTGCACGTGCTTGCTTTACATGGGTAAGAGTGAAATAAAGAAGCAGAGAGAAAAAGCAAAGATGCTTTTCACTGCATCCACAAAAAACACATCAGGAAACTCAGAGCACATGCTGCTGATCACAAGCTCAATTGCAGGATACCCGTGATAGACTTTCCATGCCAGTGATTATTTCTGTGACACCAATATGACTGTGACAGACTTTCAGACTTACCTAACTTCAATGCATTACTACCACTGCAAAACCTGGCTGTACTCCAGTGCCGAATCATTTTCTGACTACACGATAATAACATAAATACACAGCAGTAACATAAGTATGGCATAAATCACTGAACAGAAACTTTAACGACTCAGCTTGAAGCCTTAAAACAGTAAGACACACAGAATGCAAAGTGCAAGCTTTATCATTGCCCGGGAATGATCCATCTTCCTTTCATGAGCTTGCACAAACATTCTGGAAGGGATGTAGTATGATACCAGAACCTGCAAATGGGCAAGAGCAGCACCACCCACACCCTCTGTTCTTTGCAATGCAGCTGGTGTCCTTTTCCTCCTGACCCACTCCCTCTGTTACCATGGAAAAGATCCCCCTCCCTTTCAGTATATATAGGACAAGGACTTCCTTCCTCTAGTTGCTCTGTTTTAGGTCTGTGCTGTCGTTTCTCAGAAGATCTTCCTCTTATGAGTTTTTTCTTCTCTCAGCTGGGGCTCTTCCTGCCTTTATGTACTCCTGCAGCACTAAAAGCTCTCTGCTTGATCAGATCATCAGCAGCAGCTTAACCTGCTCCCAGACACACACGCACACACAAAATCATTTATTTCGTTTTCCTGCCCTTTCCTTTGTTCTCTTCCATTATCTCCTTGGGAGACCCAGTCAGCCCAGACACCACAGGAGGCAGTGCAAGAGCACACTTGAAAAAGCAGCTGGGGAGTCATGAGATGTGACCTGTTAGCTTGTAAAGTGTTCCAGTCCCTTATGGCACAGCGCATCGTCCCTAAGAAGATCAGCACCAGCTATGAGTCACCACTCATCTTCAGTACAAAGTTTCCACTACTAGCAATTAGGAGTTTAAGACACTATTACATATCCATATTTCTTCTTTATATGCTGCACTGAGCATCTACTTAAAAGGTTTTATCTTGAAGGATTTCACATGAGCCTTGCGTTAGCCAAACAGTGTAGTGCAGCAAAAAGGAGAATTGGTTTCTAGTTTAAACCTGGAGAGGGATCTCACACCTCCTACTGACAAGCTGAATTCTTCTGTGGTCTTGGAAAATCACATGTCATGTACTTCCCCATCTCTAGTTTCCCCTAGCTCAGAATTATTTTGAGTTTTAATTCACTAATTTTGAATTTCTGGAAGCCTACTGAACTCTATAGTTCAGCAAGAACATGGAACTGATGCTGCTTTGCCTGTGTGTGTTCTTTTCAAAGACCTGGGGGGGGGAGAAAGCAATGCTTCCAAGGGTCATTCATGTAAAACTAGTGGATTGAAAAATGCCAGCAGGATCAAGTCACGTATTTGTAGCACCAGAATTCATAGAGAATGCATATTAAATATAAAATCTACAATAAATGCATTAATTTATCAGTATGCTAATGCATCCGAAGGCTGAAATAAATGTACCTTTCCAGCTGTGCTCTCAGCTTCACCACAAAGCTACCTACTGCACCCTGTCCTGCGTGCTGACACATAACACTACAAAGACATCTGCCTTTTTATCTTAAACTTAACAATATATTTTAAATTAATGTGCACCAAATGCATTACCTGCAGTAAGAAATCCAGATTCCCTAACAAAGTAACTGCGTCATTTAGAAGGTCTATTATGGATAACTGGATGAACTACAGATATGGTTTGATGAATTCAGAACAGTTCCAGGCAAAGCTTACTAGCTCTCTCCCAGAAATAACAATCAGAGAAGACAAATTGGATCAAAATACCTATGAAAGGATCCTTTTCAGTTGTCCTCTGAGTATTTCAATTACTTTCGGAAATTGTGACAAACATCAGCTATATTAATGATGAAAAAATACCTAAAGCACAATTAGTGAAGGCCAAAAGTCCTAATGCTATGTGAACGCTGATGTTTAGGATTAATTACAACATACTTTGGATGGTCTATTTCTCAACTGTGTATTACTTCCTAGACTGCACCCAAACCATGCATGTTGTGCTTCTTGATCTGTAAATGCAAGGAAGTTGTTTCTTCTTGTGGGCTTGCCTCTAATCACATGGACATGTACAAAGTCAGATTTGAAAGAGCAGAGATTGAAGGAGTTGCAACAGGAACAGCTACTGTGGACCATTCCCTAAATACAAGAACACAGCAGGAACTGCTGCTAATGTGTCAGAAAGTGGAGATCAAGGCTAAGGATTTCCAGTGTGTGCAGTGATTTTTGGACAATGTTACTATCATAGCAGAAATTCACTAAGATCTGATTTTTAATTTGATTCAGAGCAACCAGCAAAAAATGTCTTAAATTAACCGACCCTCTCAAATTCCAGTTAAAAATGTGCAGAGATTTCCAGATCAATATTCTGCCTTGTCTCCCAGACATTATTCTGCAGACCTTCTGTTCACCATTTTATGACACACTCTGTATTAGAGGGGTTTTTGACCAGGCTGAGACACTCACTCTGAGAAAGGTCAGGGAGATTTCACATGAAGATATCCAATCTGTGAATCTACTTAAGCAATGCTTCTAAACCATCCAAAAGTCTCTACTGAAGAATGAGAAATAAGTATGCCTTTTACAGGAGACTTGAAAAAAGCTAAAGCTATATTACCAGTGATGGTAACCACAGTCAGCCAAAAGTCCAGATCACCAAGCAAATCCACAATGATGAGGCAGGTTTAAGGTTAAGACCAGAAGTCAAATCAGTGGCTGAGGACCTGGACTTGTACTAAAAAGCAGCGAACTCCCAGTTGAGGTGGGTGAGGCCCCAAGACTTCTCACAGATGTTTCTAACCACAGCTCTTTCTCACAAGTCTGCTCCAAGGCTGAAGAGCTGTACCGTGTCAGAGGTGGCCCTCAGTACAGGCAACACAACCCTCTGGAAAGCCTATTGGTGTGCTCAGGATCACAACTGATAAACCAACTGCTTTCCCCAGTCAGTGCTCTGGGCAGAGAGAAACCACTCATCATGTTATCCACACAAAGGTAAGACTTACGTTAGTGCATTCTTTCTTTGTCCAAATCTTTCACAATGAACTTTGTGAAGATTTTCTGCTCCTCTGCTAGAGGAAGGCAATCACTGAGAAAATCAATCTACAAACTATCATTTATACAAACATTTTGTACAAATTGGTGCGTGGGCCCTGATTTCTGCCTGCAACAGTCTTCCACTTGTCATCAGAGAAAACTCATGTCAAAAAAACTGCTTCATTCAGTAGCCAAAGAGAAGGATGACGGACACATTTAAGGAAAGGTCTATAAGCCTTCCCCACTCTATTCCTCCTGCAGTTGTAATTTTTTAACTAAAGAAAACAGCAGTTTCCTTTGATGCTAGAGTGCAAAGACTGGGTGAATTGATTGATGGCAAGTTTTTTGTTACTATCTGACAGGAGACAAACAAATCAACGAGACCATCTATCGATCTCTGTTACATCACTAATAAAAGTGGATTAGGAAAACATTGATGATGTTGGAACTTCTGTTACAGGAAAACAACAAATCAATCACAAGCTTCAAGCGACCAAACAACGAGATGGAGGAATAGGTTAAAGGAATGGGAGAATGGCATCTATCCATGATAGAAAATACTGTAAGGAAATACTTTATTGTTGAATTATTCTTGGAAACTGTCAGTACTTAAGTTGTTAGGTCACATACTAGATTTTATTTATTTTTTTCCTAAACAGTGTCTGGGACAATACTGTTTAGAAGGAAAAGAGTATTTCCTTATCCTATAGAACAAGACATTCATATCAGTCTAGAGCTAGCAAATGCCTCATTGTATAACTTGCTGAAATCCCAATTACACAACTATTTTTTCACATCATCTCCTTACTTGCTTTCAGAGACGACAGCTCTCCCTGCTTCCCATTTACATACTTGCCATAACATATTCTGTAAAACAATTTTTACACAAAGTCTGACAAACAAACATGAATTATAGACCACTAACAAATATTCACTGAAGTAGCTACCACACGTGCTTGTATTACAATTAGATTAATTTCACTAGAATTGAAAATGCCTTATAGAAGTCCTCTTGATAATTTTTCATGTGGTTAAGATTTTTTGATAGTGTTATCTCATGTATATGGTTAATGCCAACTTGCCATCTGTTTGCACAAACAGGAAACACCTCCTGATATCTGTCCTGTTCACCTTTTCTTAACACAACAACCACAGTAAAAAAAAAAAAAAAAAAGGAAATTGCTTTGCATTTCATCTTTTAAAGTAACATCTTTAGAGCTTGCTTCCCTGCATAGTAGTCACTATTTGGTGCAGGTATAAATGCGGTCTTACTTCACTGATATAAAAATTTATTCTAAGAAACAAGAAACACTTGCCTTTCAGACACAATCTTTTTGTTAAAAATATTGACCCTGAAGTATATGTACTGATAATATAAAGAAAAAACGTAGCCATGAATGACACACTGATACCAGCTGC